AAGCAGGACGAATCCCTGCAACAGGCATTTTTAGTATGCAAGCTTCCAAAGCAAGCCTGCACAACATGCAGTATGCCAAGCAGCCTTGTGCAGCTTCCTGGCATTTTAAAAAGACTCAATAAATTCACCACTGCCAAATGATGCTGCTGTTCCAAAAGACGTGCTGCTGGCTGAGGGCTTCCAATGCCTCGCCGACACTGCCAGCCCCACTGCTGCTGCTGCTCTGCTAGCTGCCAAACAGCTGATCAGCACACCAGCTATTACTTTGTGTCTCGTGATTATTTTTAATTTATCAATGTGGCCCTTTCCCCTCTACAAGTTGTGAAGGCCTGTTCTAGAGATTCCTATTAGGCAGGCTTCATCCACAATTAATCTTGTAGTCCAATTCTTTCTACCCTCTAAGATAAATCTATGAGAACTGATTGGCTAAATTTTTGTTAAAAATTAACTCCTCTTTCTCTGGGGTTAAATAATGAGAAGAGAATTTGTTGGAGGCTTTTGTTGTTTTGATTTTCCCTGGAAGCAGAAGCTGGCTGTGGGAATGAGAAGAATCTAAGTCCTCACCCCCCAACTGTGGTATTAAACCTTACAGGATGCAGGAATCTACTCCACACACAATTCTAGGTACAGTAAGTAATTAGGCAGAGCGGCATTAAGGTTTGTTTTTATTTTTAATATTCTCAAGGAAAGCATCCAGTTCTCTTCAAAGATGCCTTTTCTCTGAAAAATGACCATATTTCACTATAATCACTCATGTATAATCTACATCTGTAATCAGTTCATTCATAAGTTGCAAGTAACATCAGGTCTTCAATTCACTGAGTAATTACAACTTTAAATGTATCTTTCCAATGCTGAAGAACAAGGTTCTTAACAATAAGAAGAGTGTGGAAAATCCAGTTCCATCATCCAGCCATCAGACTGCCAAAAGGGAAAGGCATTTATTTCCATTTTTGACCTTGCTTTTATAATTATTTTTGAGGAGAAGAAAATAAAGTAGTGGCAGCAAATATCAAACAGTTACTACTGTACTATCCCAGGTTATCCTGGTTGTAAAGGAATCCTTTATAGCTTCTCAACCAAGACTTGAGACACTTGTCATTACTGTGACTGATGGGAAAGGTGAAATAAATATGGTAGATGCATTTGCCATAAAAGGATTGGAGGACTATTATAGGTAAGAAGAGGTGAAGATAAACTAGATCTAAATAAGGGTGGAAGTCTAAGAGAAAACAGTGCTGACAAAACTCTATGGGAAGTCTAACAAATGGCATTAATGTCATGGTCACTGTAAAAGATCTCAATAAAATTTGAAACTGCCTTACAACAGTGCAATCCCAGTGATGCATTTCAGGTGCCAAGTTTGCAAGGAAGAGATTTGTCTTCCAGTATGCAGGAATGGAGATATGTTTCTCTGTGTGTATATATACTAATAAAATAACATATGATAGATAGATTGAGATGTCTAGATTGGGACAAAGGCCAAGGTAATATAATAGAGTGAGCGTGAGGAAAAGGTGATGTGGAAGCATGGGCCAGAACTGTGCTAGAAACTGTTCTACATACGAGTGGATATGACCTCTAGACAGATGAAGATAGGAATTCCATGAAGAACTAGAGAAGCCAAAAGGAAGGATTCAAATATGAAAAAAAAGGAGTACTACATGAGTTTCGTTCCCAAGGTCTGTCCTTAAGTTGAATTTGTATATAAGCTGGAACAGTATTATTGTATAATACTGTGTAAGTAGTATTGTGTAATTAATTCGAACCATTGTGTTTTTAACTCAAATTTTGCTATGATAGGCTCCGTTCTTAACTATGGGTCGTTCTTAACTGGCCATTCTTAACCTGGGGACTATCTTTCAGTTATACAGATGTAAGCCAATCACTTGATGAAATGGAGAATAAAGGACAGACAACAAGATTATTCAAAACTGGACTGTAATTAAGAGTTTAGAACTCAAATCCAGAGTTCTAAAATAGAATAACATTTTCCTTGGGAACCATAGAATAACAACAACAACAACAACAAAAGTTACCAGAATGCACTTGGATTTGATGAATGTTCTCTATCACCCTTTGTGATACATGTGAAACATGATGGCCACTTCTAAATTGAGAATTGTCAAACAAGTGGAAGAATGAAAAATTGCCAAAGACAGCCATTGTGAAACTCAAGAGCATAATCCAGATAAACAGTGAAAAGGATTCACAGGCCATAATTGTGAGCAAAGCTGGAAAGACACCATTCAAATATGAGCCAAAATGAAATTGGGGGTATAGGCCCAAAGAAGTCAAAAGCTACATTTTTAGTTTCTTTCCAGGCTTCTGCTTGAATAATCTTTAGTAGTGAGGTACAGAAGCACTTTTTGAGCATTTTAGTGTCAATCATTTCAGAACTTAAAGGAGTCTGCTTCCTTCCATGGCAGGTCCGTAATACATTCTAGCCTACCATGAGAGTCTTGAAGTACATAACCATACACATGGATGTCATAGCTCCATTATCACAGTTTATTCATCTACTAATTAGATTTATCTGGGCCGCAATTGATGAAGGTCTCAGCAATCAATGAGGTTTCAACATCCATCGATACAAAATAAAATGTCCAGTGTACAAATACTAAAAATACAGTAACATCATAGAGGAAACTTAACATACACAGTGCTGTAACAGATGCCAAAAGGCTTTCCATAAAAGCTATTTTTAAGTGCTTGAAGAAAGCCCACAGCATAAGGGCAAACTGAATTCCTGGGGGGAATTGTCCCACAGTGCAGGCACCCCACCAAAACAAATTTTAACTGCAAAAGCTGCACCAGAGGCAACAAAGTGCTTTGAATTTGTTGTTTTGTAAGATGGCAGACCTTGGATAAGAAAATGCTTGGAACATCTTTATTGTCAGAAACATATTGAAGGAAAGTAGCCATCTTTATCCCATTGAAAATGTTGGCGGCTAACAATGAAGAAAAAGAACATCACAAAGCCAGCGTAACTTTCTTTCCACTGCATCTAAATCTCTACGCTCCTTCTCAGATGGAGCACAGTAAGGCAAAAGCCAACAAAAGAATGGTAGGGATACGTGTTGCAGAATATAGGTGGAGGCAGAGATGCCTATATCAAGAATGAGGGGTATGAAGCCTTCCTTTATTCATTTTCTCAGGCTTATATGGAAGCATGCTTAAAAGCACACTTCTACACTTTCATCTTTGACCACAACTGATCAAGGGAATAACCCAGGGTTGGTAGACTATAATCTTCAGTATCAAAACATTTGTTCTAACTAACAGAAAACAGGTTAGATGCTGTGGATGATGCTGATAACTGCTCCATAAAATTGGACTGTCTGAGTCACAGAGATTGTATAGATTTATCTAAGATAGGGTTTGTTGGCAAACATACTTTCACCTAGAAGAGAATTTGAAGGCAAGATAAATGACTGCACCAAACCAGTTTAGTAAACTTTTGGCAGTGCAGGCAAGTTATCTACTAAATAAGTTTTCCAAGACTCAGAATTTTTAGAGAATACCATCTGTTGGCAGTAAGTCGCTCTCATATTTCAAGCACTTTCAAAACAATGCTCCTGTTGCTATAAGTCCAAAGGCTTTACATTAATGTGAGTGGTACTTCACAAGATTGTAGAATGAAGAAAACAAAACAAAAACAAAATTAATATGATGCAAAGGAGCATAGGAAAAAACAAATTAGACAAAGAACAAAAAAAATTCCCCTAATTTTTGCCAGAGAAATGCAGAGGAAGAATCTAACAATGTTATAGGTACAGCAGTTGAAAAGGAACTGAGCTTCAGCCCTGGATACATGCGTACCTTTCACCACAATCTCAGCAACTAGAAGTTCCTGGCAATGATTCCTGTACAGGTGAATGGATTACACATAGGAATTACACATTATGCAAAACCAGAAATAATGTGTTAAATAGTAAATATGAAAAGCTTAATGGGAAGTAAGTTTAGTTCTGATGAAAGACAGTGAGAATGTGACAAGTTTCAACTCAGAAAACACTCCAAAACTGTGAAACTGCTATGGGGAAGACCTATTCTTGGGCTCACTTATCACATCTGGGAGACTGCACCAAGAAAAGATTTCAGCACCTATTTAAATTTCAGTAAGGGCTTATATGAGAGCAAGGAACGTCTTGCTCAATCAATCAATACTTTAAACACTCAGTAAAGAAAAATATTTTTAATGGCCAAAATCTCTTTTTGGCATTCTCCCATCATGAAGAGATCTGAACAGATGAGCTTGGATGGAAAAAATGGATCACTTAACTCAGCAAAGAAGGAAATAATCTGCAAGGGAGCACAAGACACTTTAACGCAGAACCAAATATCGTTCTTCAAAAACAAGTATATCAAACTGAAGATAGAGACTAATGGTAGCATGGTTTTCTGTGTCCATTTTTGTGGGATATAACCTGGAAGGAACTAAGCAAGTGATAATTTTTAATTTTCAGAAGAATTACCTACTTCATGTAACAATGGCATAAATGGAGAAATGCCAAAAGGATGATCTACACTAATACCGAAAGGCTGCCAACTCTTAGCTACGTATTATTCCGGAGTCTCTTGCTTTTGTGCATAAATTTTCTGTACCTGCCATATAAGGAGAGCTTGTTCTCTCTATCTGTTTTCCTTCCAGTGACACTCAGGAATGGCTTTAAGGTTATTCCCAGGAACATCCCAGAACCATAGCCACCCCCACAGAATAAATTGTTGTTGAGTTCTCACTGATGAGTCATTCAGGCTTTTTAATTCCATTTTAAAAAGAAATCACTAAACAGTGGAAAGAAAATAAAAAAGGGAATCAAATAGAGATAGGCTTTCACGGTCTGATGATTCACACTCCCAATCCCATGACTCACACAGCATTACACTGCCAATAAAACATGGAGGCCTGGCTGATTAGTCACAGTAATGAATTTTTCAAAGAAAGGATTTTCCCCTATAAATAATGATGGTTGTCTGGATGTGTTTATGTGACTCACCTTTCCACCATGCGAGGAAGCACCAATTGTGTCATCTGAAAAAAAAAATAGGAAAGTGATCGAGTAATATGCAGAAACCAGACTGAGGAAAGCCCTCTCATAAAGCAGCTGACCCCTCTTCACCTCAAAGAACTATAGAAGAATTGAAGACCTTCATCTGTGGAGGCAGTATATTTTTATTCTACTTATGCAGTTTGGTTCTTCAGTAAAACATGTCGAGCAAATCAGATGAACTAATCTACACTTACAACAGTTTAATCAGTCTGTCTAATTTTGAGCTGTTACAGAACGGTTTCAGAGCTTCTGTATGAGATTGATCAAAATCTAGTGCTGATGCTAGACTGTGCAAGAATTCAAGTTTAATTAATATAACAAAATGGGAAAAAATAGTGGCTGAACAGTGCAAATTGTACAAAGGGTATCAGAAATGACAGGCTTAACCATTTAAAAGAATATGAAACAAAAGTCAACTGGTCATGGATTACAACTCCCATAAGTCTCAGCCAGCATGATTAAGTGGGAGGTTGTACCAGGCACTTCCCATAATCCATTCCATCTTAGGTGAACAGAAGGCACAGCATAAATAGGCAACCTAACCACAAACATGAATAACATTTTCCAGGCTGCTGATCACAGAAAGAAATCTAAGGCTTCGGCTTTGTGATTTTTAAAGGTAAAAATTTCCATTATCTGGAAAACCAAGGCACTAAAAGGGGTAAAATTATTTTACTTTGCCACAGATCACCTAGCGCTGCCTTCTATCTTATGCAACATATTGTTTTAGCCAGCTTTTAAAATTAAAAGGTGATTCTAAAAGAATATGGGTTTCTTGTGAAATAAATTGTCATAATATCAGAAAAATTGGTTCTCCAGCCAAAATGACACAGTGCCTAATCTGTATTTTAGTGTACCAAATCTAAGGAGCCTGTACTATAGCAATAAGTTACCATTAAAAAAAAGTATATTTTATCAAAAAATATGTTGCTCTTTTTCACAGCACAAACACCATCATGAGAACATTACATTAATTCAATCTACAATTTCCATCTTGAGTCTAATTCAAATTGCAAGCTTTGTGACCACAACATCTGCCCTAAAGTTGGGCTTCACTTCTTTTGCTCCTCCCTCCCTCCCTCAATACACAGTCTGACAAAGAACTCTGGAAAATGTAAACTGTGCACAATTTTCTGTGGCATTTTCATTGTTAACCATGCTTTTTTAAGTAATGTTGATTGTTTATGATAAATCCAAGAAATTAGCATGCAATTACTTGAATTAGATAAATTAAAAGATTATACTAGTGACAGATGATTATATTTCAGATACAAAATGTAACAGAGTATATTAGGGAGCAATTTAGTGAGAGAACTCAGCATTTTAAAGAACTGAAACAAATTCAGAATGAATGTTGGATCTTATAGGCTAGAAAAGGGGTGGGAGGAGGAAACACTAGCATCCTTCCAGACTGTCACAGCGTTATCCTACATACTTCACTTCACTTACTGAATATTAGTACAAATTAGTTATATTATAACCTCAGTTGTTGATGAAAAACAGGATTACCCAATGCTTTACATGAGGAATACAAAATTCTCTCTATTTCCAGTCTTTGCAGGTGAGTCAGAAATGGCACAAATGGCAAATAAAAGTTTTCATAAATGGAAACATTTTGCGGGGGGAAATCCTGGGGGGACAGGCAGGGAAAGAAAATAGATGGGATGGAGACACCTTGCAGAACAATCAGCAGTGGCCACAGAATGCCTGAAAAGTTCAAAAACAGGACAAATGACTTCAGTGGATGTGAGCCCTGGCCAAACTACATTCTCATATATTGGATGATATAGATGCAATACTTGATTTCCTGAAGCGTGCGAGGTCTAAGTAAATAATTTGTGGTAACGGAAGGTAGTTCAAGCAAGAAGAGATAGCCGGACTCTATAGTCTACACAATACCATATATTTTCCACAATTCTTTTATTGCTATTTTTATTTTATTTATACTCTGCTCTTAGTCTGAAAGTATCCCAGAGTGAATTTACAGAATACAAACAAGACAAACCCTGCCCTCAGATTAGCACTGTAAAATTCTGTGGTGTGAAAGAAAAAAGGGGATGGGAAAGTATAAGGACAACAGTAAAACTCAAGCACCACTCCTTAATGTTTTATGGGTATTATAAAAGCCAGCAGTGATATTAAATGATTTGCTTGCAGAGGCTCAGATATCACCATCAACCACAGAGCAGATGGTCCTATCGCTCTTCCTCACTGATCATTGATTTCAATGGTCTCTGGGAGGAAGAAGGAGGGGAACACAGTTCGTTGCATCAGCAGTGAGCAGAGATGGTAATCCTCATTCTTATGAACTGTTTTGCTCTCTTAAACATCTAACAACATATTTCACTATAGTCTGCCTATGTACTTAAGGTCAGCTATCTCTTATGATCATTTCTGCATACTACAGTAATGGTGTCAAAATACTGTACCAACATGACCCAACAGATGGACTTCGGCTCAAAATAACAATGCTATCTTCTGTGAAATAACCAAGTGGTTTTTTTTAACAAGTCACATCTAGTAGCATATTTGTAAAATGAGAATTAAAACAATTTGAGCGAGAGAAGCTTAATCAAAGAACAAATTTAACCAGCCATTTACAATCAGAAGTTCTATTCTAATGCCACCTTTTCTAGGTACTATAACTTTTTAAAAGGTCTAATTTCCATTCTGAAGAATGTGAACAACTGTTTTAGGTATTCTGAAGGAATACAGGACTACATATAAGGGGTAGGACAACAACACAGGCCACATAAATTGGGAGAGGCCAGGGTAGGGCTTGGGAAGCCTAGCACAGCAGGAAGGCTGGGGGATGGATGGTGCGGCAGGGCCCGAGCGCAGGAAGGCCAGGGGGGATGGAAGACATAGCAGAGCACGAGTGCAGGAAGGCCAGGGGGACTTACCAGAGCAACTTCCAACCTTCTCTGCCAGCTTCCCCACAATCTTTGCTTGTGGGAAGCTGGCAGGGAAGGTCGCAAATGGTGATCATGTGACCGTGGGGGATGCTGTAATGGCCAGAACTTCGAGGACTGGTCGTAAGTACCACTCATTCAGTGCTGTCGCAACTTTGAACAGTCACTAATTGAGTGGTTGGTAAACAAGGACTACCTGTATTCCAAACTTTAATAAAAATGCACGTTTAAAAGATTGCTGAAGAGTGGCTTTTGAGCAGGCCATACTTCAGGTTCAAGGATGTCTTAGCACAATACCACTCTGACAGATCCTCTCTTACATACCCTGCTAGCAGATGACAAAATTAGTAGTGCTCCATAAGCAGAGTACAATTTACATTCCTATGTATTAATTTAAAAGGAAAAAAAAACATCTCATGTAAAAACACATAATAAAAATAGAAATTTATATGGCATCATATATACATCATTCTCCAGTAGAGACCTACAACATTTACTGTTTCTAGAAAGTAATTATACTTACACTCAGATGAAAGCTAAACAGAAATACTAGCATACCACATAGAAATAATAAGATAGGAATGCTGGTTGTTTCCTTCATATCAGCATCTTTTTAGTAGTTAAGATTTATGTGTTCTTTTGACCTCAACTTTGTGACATCAGATGTTTGCTCAATTTCAAGACAGAGAAGCACTGCTTTGAGATTTTGGAAAGAAGGGGAAAGCCTTATTCTAGAAATGAGAATGCCTGACAATATTGTTTGGGGAAAATGGCAACAAAATTCCATTCTCTCAAGCAGAGGAAATAACAGTCTTTCTCTATCAAGGGGGAAACATCATGCTTCCAAATGAAACACTTGTAAAATGGTATCCAGAGGAAAGGCAGAAGAGATGCCTGAAGCATGTAATATAATTGAAAAAAATTTAAATGGAACATGGAATAAAAGGAAATGAATAAAACTAAGAAGAAAAAATATGCAGGGAATTACTTGTGGAACTACTCAGATTTAATTTGCAGTATGAAAAAGAACAATTGGAAAAAAGGGTGCAAAAATTTTTAGGCTCTGAGTTTTCAATATATGTTTCCAAATGTCCTTTGTCTATTTTTTGCCTGGAACATGATTCCTTACAAAGTATTGCAAGTTCTTCTGCTATTTCTGATGTTGTATATCTATGCCTTCTATATACCTCTTTTCCAGAGTAAGAAAACATTTTTTTTTTATAAATACCAAAAAGGCTTGGCAGGCTGAGGTATGAATAACTTCAAGTATATTTCATCCTTTCTTCTCCAGGAAAGTATTGTGCTATTAATATATGCAGAATAACTTCTAGAGGCTGGTAGAGAAAAATGGACTTATGGAGAAACTCTACAGGAAGCCATTTTAATGCATAAAATGGCCATGTATATAATTGCACCTGCTTTACGGAGACCAAATCAAAATGACCTCAGAAATCATTTAAGACAAATGTTTTATTAATTTATACCTGCAAAATAGTTAATGTTCCAGCATTATCAAAACTTCCCAAAATGGCACTTACCTTGCACATAGATATGATATTAATATTTATGAGCATGTCAATTTTCTGTAAAGGGGGAAAAAAGTGTAACAGCATTATTACAAACTCTTGATTTAAAGGTGTACAGCAACTAAGATTACTAGAGTATACTATGCAGAAATCATTGGATCAAACTTGGAACCCCAATTAGGATCTTGGTAATTTATTGATCTGATTTGATTTCTGGATCCAGAATTCAGAGAATCAGATCTCCATTTTCCTAGAGTTAAGAGAAGAATCAGAAATGTTAATAAATTTTTCTTAGCAGAGTTGACACAAGCATGTGGTATCAGTGTATCATCTCAAACTTTGCTTTTTAAAAGTCTTTTTAATTTAAAACATGCCTTAAAATTACCATTTTAGGACAGATTGTGATGGAATTTACAGTGATGGTAATCTCTACAGTGATAACTACTGACAGTCAGATGGTTTTTTTCTACAGAAGAAAGGGATGATGTCCCTTCCTGAATGCAGAGGAGATGATTATTGGGAATTGAGATGGAAATGTAAGGAATCAATTCACACATCCTTATTCTTGCTAAATGTAGCATTTTGAAAACTATAAATTATGTCCTCAGAATTTTTGAATTAGACTAGCGTCCAGACCAGATGGCATATGGACAGAATGAAAAAAATAAAATATTATCACACAGCCACTCAGGATGAATTATTAGGAACAATGGAGCATAGCCATGTGGAGCAAATGGTAAAATTAAGGCTCTCCCACTCCATAATTTCTTCACCCTGCAAGACACTGCAACTGGAGTGAGCTTAATTTCAAGGACAGTTTTGCTTTGAGAACAGACTTATACATGACATGTATATAAATTATTAATGCTTCTCTTCCTTTTCTACAGCATCGCAAACCACTAGAAAAAGGGATTAGGACTGGACTTAATTGATACCAAGCATCAGAATGCAGTGAGCCTGAGCTTATCCACTCTACCTTGAGAATGAAAATCTGGTTCAAATGATTCCCTTTTCCCCTTGGCATTTCCCCAAATTACACTGGCATTCATCAAGTGTCTAGTGTGCCCATTTTGAACTGAAAATCCAGTAATATTTGTTTTAAATGTTTTTATTTTATTGTAAGTAGATATTGTTTTATTTCTGGGTTGTGAACTGCCCAGAGTTTGGGTCAAGATGGGCAGCTATATAAATGTTTTAGATGGATGGATGGATAGATGGATGGATGGATGGATGGATGGATGGATGGATGGATGGATGGATGGATGGATTCACTGAGGAGCCAAGATTCAGCCTCGATGGGAGAGAAGTTACAAATGCAATTCCCGAATAAGCTGAGGGACAAGGTCTTCTTAAAAGGAAACCTCAGAGGCTGGGTGGAATTTTTACAATCACAACTTTCCACATATCAGAATGTAGTAATATAAAGTATGTTGTAACTAATTTATTTGAAAACCTCATTTTGGTATGTTTTATCTGATATTGCTTAACTATGTGTATCTTGGATGCATTTTTACCAAGTTAAAGTGCAGCTCAGACAATCAGGATATGTTAAACACAAAGCAATACCTGCTCTTAAAGGTCAGTATAGTAGCCTCAATTATTATTTTTCTTGTATGTGAAACAAAATCAAAATAAAGACATCTACAAAACTGTAAGAAACAAAAGTGTAAATATAACATTAATTCAAACAAGACTAATGCACAGGATGAGGGTATAGAAGCATCCTGAATCCTTGGATTAGGATTAATCATTACACATCTTAATTTTATTTTAAGTTAATGAACTGCTTATAGGACTGTCTCTAAATCTGGGGGGGGGGGATTGCTACTAAATTCTTATTCATACTTTTTTAGCTAATTATATGAACAAATCTAATAAAAACAGTGTCACATTTTAACAAATATTACTTAAATTTAAAAGAGAGGTGAGGGAGGAAAAGAATACTTACATTATCTAAATCTGGGATCTCAAGGAAATATTCAGGGTAATCATATGAAGCACCCACGTTGTTCACTGAAACATACATAATTTTTTTTAACACACACCTTGAATGTATGATATTCTGAAATTAACTTGTGGGTAGCATTGTGTTTAGCTATTAGTTAAGTTGCATGTCACTGACATCTCTAGTTCCTATAAGCATTGATGCCTGAGATTATGAATGTATTAAAGTTTCTTAAAATGTTATTAATCAAGGCACAGAATAGCAATGAACACAAAAGCAAAGACAATACAATCACTTCTATTAAAGTCAGCTCCATAAAGCACCAGAAAGACTAATTTGGTTGGATCCAGACTTAGCCATACTTCCTCGTTGTTTTCACACATGACACAAAATCAGGATTATCTACCATGGTTAGCTTAACAAGCCATAATGGTCTGGCTCACATACAGCACTAAGCTATAACAAAATGATTCTTACATTAAGCTAAGCCAAATAGCTCAATGGTTTTGTCTGATGTGTGAATTTTGCCACTGAAATCAACAGGACTTAACTTATCATGATTTCAATGTCTGTTTTAGGAAGCTGTCTGGATTTAATCTATGTTTCTATTTCAATCCATCAATTATAGTCTAAATTCACAGTTTAATTCTGGCCTACCAATTAGTATATGACTATGATTAATCATTATAAATTAAATAAAACAGATTAAAATGCAGCTTCTCAGATTAGCTATAGAAAGAAAGTCTTCTGTTTCACTATGCAGAAACAATCCTATTTTCTGTGTGCTAAGATATGGTTCATTGGACTGAATTAAGTTTGGATCAGGCCAATGAAAAGCATGACTGTAAAAGTATGCAAATACTAACATATATAACTGTTTTTATGATTGGTATATATAGCTAAAGAAATGCTATCAGCTAAATCAGTGTAAGATATAACATTTCTTATGAAGAAGTACTTTGTATGTCAATGCAATCTAGTTATTTAAACTTTAAAATGCATGCAGTACTCCAATTGAGATTAAACTGTAAAAGAATACAAACAGCAGCATTCTAGCAAACATGTTAACATGTAGTTTAATATTGAACTCAATTACATGCCAGTATACAAGTGAGTTTGTATTTTTCAGGCAATTCATACCATTATGAATTTTAGTCTCATTACCTCTTAAAGAAACATAAAAGTACTGCCTTTTCTGCCGATAAAACACAGTTCTGTGAAAAAGAATTCATCTTCTTTTGGATTACTGATTTTTCTGAATGTCCTTGCCACTGAACATTATCACAGTTTCATGCGGCATATAAATGGACCTTGGGTGAATGACTAATTCATAAACAAATAATCCAGCATACACCCCTCTAGTTCAATTAATTAAGTTAAAAACAAAACTATGGCCAGCTGTATGAGTACTTTATTAAACCATCATGGATGATTTGGGCTAACCCTGCCCTATGTAAATCTCATAAACTTTGGCACCCTTTATCTCAGTGAAATTCTCTTCACACTGATTCTAGAGGTATATCATGTCATTAAAAGAAATTTCTGAAGATTTCCATTAAAAAGTCACTGATGCCTATCAGTCTAAGGAAGGTTAAGAAACCATTTCTAAAGCTCTAGGGCACAACCAATCCTCACAGACAGAGTTCTGAAATGGAAAAGACTTGGGCCAACAATGAATCACTACAAAATCACTAAAAGAAAACAGCATAAAATTATCCAGGAAGTCACAAAGAACCCCAGAACAACATCCAGAGATCTGCAGGCTTCTCTCACCTTGGTTTAATCATCAGAAAAGCACCAGGTAAAAACGGAATTCATGGAAGAGGAACAAAACCCAAAACACTGATGCTCATCTTAAGTTTGGAAAAACAAAACAAAACAAACTCTCCCAAAACAAAACCCAACACCTGGATGACTGGATGGTGGACAGATGAATCAAAAGTGGAATTTTCCAGGCTACATGAATATCATTATGTATAGCAGAAACCATAAACTGCATTCTACAGTAAGAATCTCATATCACTGCCTAGCCTGGAGGTGATTGTGTCATGGCTTGAGGATGCTTTATTGTCTCAGGATCTGGATAACTTGCCATTATTGAAGGAAGCATGAATTCTGCTTTGTATCAGAGAAATCCACAGAGGAATACAGATCTCTTTCTTTATTTTTTTCAAATTTATATATACCGCCCATCTCACTATACAAGTGACTCTAAGCAGCATTAGCTGAAGCTGAAGCATACTGGGGGAAAGGCAGCAAGATAGTGATTTTCAGCAAAGAAGTAAGTCTACAAGAGAATAGATGAAGAACAAATTCAGTGTTTTGAAACAGCCAAGCAAAAGTCCTTGGAAATATTAATGCAGGGCTTGAAACAAGCAATTCAGGCTAGAAAATCTTCCAATGTTTTTGATCTGAAGCAATATGCCATAGAAGAATGGGACAAAATTCCTACATAGTGATATAACAGACTGAGCATCAATTATAGGAAGCATTTGGCTGCAGGTACTGAAGCTAAAGGTACTGCAACCAGTTATTGAATCTAATGGGGTGATTCTTTTTTCATACTGGTTCACTGCATGCTGGATGATTTTGTTTATTAAATGAATTAAACAAGAACCAAACTTTGATCTTATTTGTTCACTCATACTCTATGTATCAATAGGCCTTACATTACATTAATAATATTCAGCAGCAAAGACATGCAGAAATTCAGAATAACCAAAAGGAGGCAAATACTTTTGTACAGAACTGATTTTTTTTTTCATCCTAGCATTTTTCCCGCATATGCAGGCTATGCTCCCCCCCCCCCCCCCCCCCCCACCCGAATGTTGATCCGTTGGTTGCGATAAGAATTGACCAACTGGCTTGTTGCCCAATGTCAGGGGCTGAGGGAGAATGAGAGGCCCAAAGTCACCCAGTTGCCTTTCCTGCCTAAGGCAGGACTAGAACTCACAGTCTCCTGATTTCTAGCCTGATCCCTTAACTCTGAGACCAAACTGAATATGACATTTTAAAATTGGTTCCAGAAAATAAATGGGTAAAGTTTATTAACTATCACACCAGCCCTCTTTCCTTCATTTAGATGCAAATTTTAACTACTTACTTTCTACTTCAAATACCATCCTTTAATAATACTGAGAGAGCCAGTTTGGTGTAATAGTTAAAGGCACCAGGCTAGAAACCAGGAGACTATGAGTCTAGTCCTGCCTTAGGCATGAAGCCAGCTAGGTGACTTTGGGCCAGTCACTCTCTCTCAACCCTAGGAAGAAAGCAATGATAAACTCCTTCAGAAAATCTTGCCAGGAAAACTACATGAATTTGTTCAGGCAGTCATCAAGATTCACTTGAATTTCTCTCTCTGAGAAATAAAGTTATTTTTTAACTATTTCACAACTGATGCATGCAAAACTACTGTATGATTATTTGCCCTAATATGCCAAATTGCTGACCATGATTTGCACATCAATATCATTTGTAGCCCTGTCTATTAACAGTATTTATGCAAGACGTCTAAATCTGAAGAGGCAAGTTGAAGAATAAATTACGTTCTTCAACTGGTCTTGAATCAGACTATAGAACATTAGATGGCAGTATAAACCAACGCATGGTATATGTTAAACGCTGAAATCACTCAATGAAAAATAGTTGAGTGAAGTGAGGAAGACAAAGAAGATGGGAGTATAAGAATAATGCAGAACAGTATCATTAATAACAATTTTACCACTGTAAACATTTTCTTTCAGCCACCATTTCTTGTTTTTAAGATGTTTTCTTTTTTGTTTCCATGCTGCTAGGAGGTCCATTTTTTACAGATTAGCCAAGTATAAGTGTTCTGAAAAACTCTTTTCACACACTTCAAATCTGTGAAACTGTCCTGGTCATCCCCAATCAATTGACAGAACTTTCATTCAACATAATTTCAATCTAAAATTTTCATGAAGTATTTTTTATTATCAGAGTTACCACTCACTTTAAGTGAGTCCTTTTCAGAAAAAAAAGGTAGGATCGATCTGAGGGTGGTAAATAGCTTTGTTTTCTTGGGTTCAAGAACAGAGATAGACTGGATGCTGAAGCTTATTCCAACAGAAGGCAATGACAAAATTTAACAAGATCATGAAGAATAAGGGTATTGAAATTATAAATGAAATGAAAATAGTTAATGGTAGTAATATATGGATGTGAAAACTGATCACTGATAAAAAGACAGATGCCCACAAATTATGGATTTAGAGACAATTACTAAGAGTACCATGAGCCTCAAGAAGAATAAATCAACCAGTTCTAGTTTAAATAAAGGCTGTACACTTGAGCAGATGGTCAACAAGCAAAAGTGTACATCCTTTGGACATGTGATGTGAGTAGGTGATAGACTAGAAAAAATGATTATGTTTCACAACACTGAAAAGAAATAGAACACAGTTCTTCAAACTTTCTCATGGTGCAGAACCTGTTAGTTATAAAATAATGATGATGTTTTATGGATTTCTTTATAGATAAGAGATGGAATATGGGATGAAGAGATAAAAGTTTGTACCTTTAGAGAGGGTGAAGAGTTACTAAATTTGTTCATACTTGTGATGGAATTTGGAAGTCACTTCTTTATATATTTCTTTTCTCTTTATTATATTTTTACTTTTTACTTTTTCTTTTTCCTTGCACTTTTTATTCCTTCTCTCTATTCTCCTTTCTTTAAGTTTAGTTTGTATTAGATTTTACTATTATAATCAAAATTCTTAATAAAAATAAATATATTGAATGAATGAATGAATGAATGAGATCCCCAGAGCCCCTAATCAAAAGGCATTGGTTGGGTTTGAACCAACATTTTTTTTGTCCCTAGTCTCTCATGGAACCTCATCAAATTCTCATGAAAGCCTAGGGTCCCATGGAACACAGTCTGAAAAACTCTGAGGTAAAACGGGGGGACAACAAGATGAATGGGTCTATAGACATTATTGGAATGTCCTCGTAAGAGCTATTATTAATGACTGGAAAAATTGTATTTGTAGAGTTAACAGAAGTTGCCCACCTCAAATGGTAGGTAACTGACAATTCACTTAACCTACACTTTTCACTACTGATAGTGAAACCTCTAATCACCACTTTAAAAGGTGGGAAACAGAGAGACAGCATGCAATATATTAATTAATCCTAACTGCTACGATAATTTTCCCTTCTAGAACATGGCATGGCCAACAAGTACTTTAAACAAGATCTACTGTGTAAACCAGGAATCAACCTCAGTTTGGTAGAAACACAACCCTTTCCTTCCTTACTTTCGGCTGCTGCCACATCAATGTCCCAGTCTGAAATATCCCACCAACCTCCAACTTTCTCAGTGTCTTTCCTTTCCTTCTTCCCCTCAGTCACCACTACTGATATCTACATATATCATCGGCAGTCTTGGCTTTTCCTTGCCGTCTTCTATGAAAGTACATTTGATATAATCTAAGGATTCTTTCCTCACTTCAAGAATGTCATGGTAGAAAGAGAGAAATAGAATGCTTCCTATTCAAGGAAAGAAACTTTTTTCTTAATCCTTCATCTTCAAGTTGTGGAACAATGTATATTAGTGCTCTATTCCTTAGTAAAAAGCTTTCAGTACTTCCAGACTCTAATAGAAGAAATTATTTCTAAATTCATTTTTTTTGTTTTGTTTTGCAATTCTGTCAAAATATGTAATTCTAAAGAGGGAATATGTGGAGATTGTGATTTTATTTTTTATAGCCCACATAGGATTCTGCTCAGCAAGGAGAGATTGTATGATTTTAAATGTTTCCCCAAAATAGCTGAGTTTAAAGTATACTAGATAAGAGCAACCTGGATATTTAGGGAGAAAGTTAAGTATTTCTTTTAAAACATAAATAATAAAAACATTTAAGCCACTTGTTAACACCATTTACTCCTAGCTAGAATAGGGCAGAAGTCTGTAAATTTATTAGATGCACATAATGGGGTAATGATATCACTAAAGATATGTAAAGTAAGGAAGATATGGGATAGATGACATTACATTAAATTATCTTTGGAAACAAACGTTCTATTTTTTGTCTTCAAGGGGTCAAACGTTGTTCCACAGAGAACAAATGCAATTAAAAAGTGCATTTTATCTGTCTGTTGCAAGGCTATGGTTTCCTCCCACCCCACCCCCTAAAAAAATTAAAGAAGTTGAATTTAAGATACAAACCTAATATACCAATTTCAAGGCCTTCCAAGCCTGCTTTAATATTGCTGTAAATATTTTCTCGGTTTCCAAAGTCAGCAACAATTGTTTTTGTTTCCACCTTGAATTTGTCCTCTGAAATAAAGAACACATAACAGGTAATTATGGAGCACTGTGTCTCATTACTATTATATACTAAGGTGAAACAGTAAAACAGCCAGGTATTGAAATATACCATTGTAATAAAGCTTCAGTTTTATCAGATTATTTTTGTAGTTTGCTCATTTTGATTTGAAGGCTTTTAAGAAATTTTAACTTTCCTATTTTGCAATAAAAAAAAGATTTCCAAAAATAATATTTAGTTATTCTAGGGTACACCAAGCCTCTTCTATTAAGAGTCTAACAGGTCACTTATTTAGTATATATTTAAAATTGTTCTTTTCTAGGCATTCCTCACTGACCCACTTAGTAAGCAACCCACCTTTAATACTGGATCAGATATTTTCCAGTAGAAATATACTGGATGGTATATAAATATACTGGATGGTATATAAATATACTGGATGGTAATATAAATAACTATGAATGGAGGAATGTAGTTCATAGTTTTATTCATTACTTAATAGCACTAAAACACTACCAAATGACAACCTGGGAACAAAATAATCAGTCTGACAGTTCAAAGTTGCTTTCTGATATTTTTTAGCCCAAATAACAGCAATAACAGTATATATCACACAGAATTCAAAGTTCCTTTACACAACACTATTTAGCCACCCATTACAATCTAGCTGGCTTGAAATTCAACATTAAAAAAACTAAGATCATGGCATCTGGCCCCATCAATTCCTGGCAAATAGAAGG